GTCGGATGACTAAACGACTCATGATTTTCGATTCAGTCCGGTCTGTGTGGTATCATTGCGGGATGAGTTGTCACGAAAAATCGAAATTTCAGCGATGATAATTCGAAACGACAAGTTAACGTTGGAGATGATTATTAAGGTGTCGAAGAGTCCTTTTTTGGTTGTTGACAACGGAAAGGGTGCTTCCTTGTTTATCAGTGAAAGCGATAACGGCCTTGAGCGATGTGAACACCCACTACGCAGGGTCTTGAACATTCTCCAAAAGGATTTACGCTTCATAGGAGTTTCACCATGTGATAAAATTTTCAAAAATATTTCTAATGATAAGGCCCACGAAATCTTTTTTTAAAAATATCATAGTATTCGATTGTTGTTTTGATGGACGGAAACGAAGAGTACGAGGTTTCAGAGAGTAACTTGGAACGAATAAGTTCAACGTTGGTCTTATTTAACGAAAGAACATCTTAGTAAACTGATCGCCGAGGAGAATATGTCACACAAGCATAAGTAAAAACTGTATTTTTTAAGACTAACAATAATTCATCTCCAATATCAAAATCAAATTTGTACATCGGTCCCGTGAGTGATATATAGATTGCGACAGTGAAGCACTCTGTTGGAAAGGGTTGTGTGTGATTTCATTGACACCTGTGATCGTTTTTAGAAAGACCCATGCTATTTTTTTCCCTAACTCTGCATTTCAATACCATAGACGACTCAGCTGTTGATGTAATGCGAGTCTGCGACCCGACTTATTCTTGCTAGACCAGCGAGCTCGACATCATTCATGACGGCCATCGATGGCTGTCGAAGAACGAGATCTAGTATAGTATATATCAATGTTCTGTTTTTGTCTTTAGTTACCATTCACGTGTTTACACTGCTTGGGTTATTGCAAGGCACGTGTCAAGCCTTTACCGATGATACTTCCGCTTCTTGGAATAAAGCAATTAAATGACAATAAAAATACGAATTTCTTTTTCATTTAATAATAGTGTGTATCTCGTGTATTCTTAATCCGCTTTTAAGAGATAATATAGATAGACGGCGTCAAGCAATGGAAATAAAAAAAAATAGTCTCAAAATTTGCCACAAAATTGCACTTAGAGCTCGTTTTGTGTTTTTGTTCCACAATTACTAACACAGTTACGTAATAATGTAGGTTAGTGATAGAGAGGAGTATATCAAACGAAATTTAACAATAATCACGTGTAAACAGAAGCTCAACCGTTCAGGAACACGTGTTCTCGGAAGTTGCGTGGGTATGGTGGTGGGTTTTGTTGTGCAACCTTACATCAAATAAACTCTTTACGGTCTAATTTCTATATATTGAAATTTCCAAAGTGCAGTGGGTGATGAGAAGGAAATGATATCGCACGTACAAGCAAGTATCTGCTGATGTTTTAAAAGGATCATAGTAAGCAAACCGACCTCAGAAAATCCGAATCGAAGAAAGCAAGTGGTCAAAGGCACCGGGATAACCCTAACCATTTTCACGGTTCCTTGACTCATCTCGAATAAGCGACTTTGCTGCCTCCTTGAATAAAATAATTAACTTATCTCGCATTTTTCAAAACCAAGGAGTGGGTTGAATCGCAAGCTTGAAGCTGAAAATGGATGCGATAAACACTTGGGATACCATTTTCGTGGTCATCGAGTTTGTGGTGTGCCTTTCAGGAATCGTCTTCAATGGTTTGGTAATTCTTACAATTTGTAAAAGCATCCATCATCTTTCTTCACCGAGCTATCTCATTCTAAGTATAGCGATCAGTGATTTTATTTCCTGTTCAGTGGCTGTTCCATTTTCGATCGCTAGACACTTTAAAAAAGATTGGCCATTTGGAATGGCTGGATGCAAAGCTCATGCCTTTATGATCTTCCTTTTCGCTCTGGTCTCCATCACTCACTTGGCTAATATATCTGCAGGAAAGTATTTGAATATTACGAGGTCTCTTTACAAGAACTCTTACTTCAACAAGAAACAAATTCTAATGGTAATCTTAGCCTCTTGGATTTACTCGCTGGGATTTAGCCTTGCTCCTCTCTTGGGATGGTCGCGATATGGTTTGGAGGGAACCAATGCGACCTGCTCAATCAAGTGGGAATCGACTCGTGGGGGAGATAAGGCATATTTTGGCATTGTTTTTATAGCATGCTACGCGTTTCCAATCGCAGTGATCATGTTTTCCTATTATAAGATCCACAAGGTTTCCAGAGGGATCGTTCGCACTTCATCCCAGATTGGCTGCATTGGATTGACCATGACACAAGCTTTGCTGAGGAAACATCGCAAATCAGCTATGTACTATTTGGCTATCATAATTGCTTTCATGGTCTCATGGTCTCCCTATGCTGTTGTGTCTTTCCTCGCAGTGATAGGGAGAAAAGTGCACCCAATTGCAGCCAGCACATGTAGCGTGTTTGCAAAGATCTCGTTTTTCCTGAATCCAATTCTGTATGCTATTTTTTCCCGCAAGTTTCGACGACGGATGGCTCTCGTTGTTCCTGTGACCAGGCCAAATCGAGAGGTGAGACCAACGACTTTTGTTCAAAACTCAGCAACATTGGCTTTGTGAAAATTATCTATATGATTTAGAAACTTAACATTGCCTTTTTTAACTCTCCCACTTGGATAATCGTTGTCGTTAACTAGCTGTACTCGGATTACACTTTATAACCTGTTGTGAGAGTGCTTTAATTGCAACGTTCTCTGAGCGATAGCACCTAAGTTCTTGAAAGCTAAAGCTAGGAAACATCGATGTAAATTCTAGTTCTTTCAGGCCGTATAGTTCATTTATCATATTTTACGACTTAATGTACTTCACAATAGTTATGTTAGCAAATCCTACACAAAGTACGTTGGACCGCAATGACGGGGGAAGCTGGCTGCCGACTGCAACACGCTATTTGCAAAGGCACCAAGGACTCTCGAACTGTTCCATTATACCTATTTCATTGATTATAACCGACAACTTTCTGATTTCTGACTACTCTCCTCTAAACACCAAGAAGACTTTCTAAAGTAAATGCTTATATGTTCGCTATCGGTGGGCATGAGTGGGCATGTTAGCTGGCCAATGACCTCGGAGGATTAAACATTTGTTGTTAGAACACTAACCCAAACACTTTTATAAGAATCTCACAAATGAAGCACAATGCAGCAAATACTTCTGATCAACGCAATCAATCTTTGACTGCGTAGGCTAAAAAAAGAATTTCCGTGTGCGAAAGCAAGGTCAGTAGACAAACTGAGCACGTCCACTTATGGACTGTTAAACCGACAAGACATATACAGTTTGGAAAACTCATCGCAGTAGCTTAAGACTTAATTGTTTCGGACTTTGAATTCAAATAGTAACTACAGTTTTGATATAAACGCATGGCTAAATCATACTGAACTATTAAATACTTTATAACAATATCTTTGGTAACGATCTTGAGTGCACGAGCTATACTGAATAAAGGACTTTTAGATGTATATACCTTGATATTTTTCTCCGATAACAGGTCATAGTATGGTACGATTATGCAAGCGTAGGATTCCCCCAAACCTTTTATAACACTTTATTACACGACTCGAAACAGTCTTTAAATAAATTCTTTAAATAAATCATAATTTTGCTGCACGCTCATTATTCTTTGCTTTAACTCATTACAAAACACAAATGGTATCTAGTTAAACATAGGTATAAAACTTATGGAGTTAAATGAATCGGTTTCTTGAGCGCTTAGAGAGCAGTAAAAGTCTTTCCCTTCTTTCCTTTCTTTCCTTTCTTTCCTCTCTTTCCTTTCTTTCCTTTCTTTCCTTTCTTTCCTTTCTTTCCTTTCTTTCCTTTCTTTCCTTTCTTTCCTTTCTTTCCTTTCTTTCCTTTCTTTCCTTTCTTTCCTTTCTTTCCTTTCTTTCCTTTCTTTCCTTTCTTTTTCTTGGAGAAAAAAGGTCACCTGACTATCAAGTGACCTTTTTGTTGGCAAATTTACGACTTTTCATTCAGATGCCTTTCCTCCATTAAAATCAGGATCGTGTTAAAAACTGTTTGGAGTTCTAGGTCAGACAAATTTCTTTCATGCTGGGCTTCTTTCGCAGTAAGTGACTAAACAACTCAAATTTAACAACCCTATGATCCCATGGCATGGATTGCTCATTGGGTTGTATTCTAAGCTAAAACATTAGTTAAGTCCAAAGTTGAATTTCTCCTTGAGGGGCCTCCCCGGTTCGTGATTGTCTTCAAATCGGCGCAGTAGATGCTGCTAAGTATGCAGTAGATCCTGCACAAAATGGATCAATTTAGCAAGGATCCAAGTTAAAATTTACTATAGTTGGTTATCGGACGTTTATAAACGTTACCCAGCTATTTTTTGCTCAAAGTAATGCACGCATTACTACCCTTATCTTTCCTGAAATCAAGGTGTTTTGAAGCTTTTTTTATCGATATGTTAGATTGTTTTACGTATCGATAAGCTGCAGTAAAGCATTTTTTAAGCAATGCTCGTCATCCCTTTGTCAATACGTCTAGCATACCTCACCCCATTTTCCCTTCAAGTTTCATCTCTCAGAGTGCGGCGGCGATTTTCTTCTGTCTCCCAAGTCACTGACCTGGAGAGGTTAGGCAGCATTAAAAGGGAGAATGAATCCGAGATTTAAGTACAAGACGAGCAACGGATAAAAAGTTTTACACTGAACCCGAAGATGCATGTGACCGAAAGTACCTACAGCACTTAGTGTAGGGTAAATACCAGTTTCGTGCCTCGAACAGAAAGCTTCGCTGTCTGAACATGTCTTGTTCGAAAAAGGCCTGCTTGTCGACCATTGTCGCGGATAGGATTTCAAGAGACGTGCAACGCGATTGCGTGTATCAACGCTTACGGTCAATCAAAAAAACGAGGCGCTCTGTTGCTTTCGTAAAACTCCGCCGACCATCTGGCGCTCTACGCCCAGGAAGTCTGGGCTCCAGAAAACGGTTGTCTCGATCCATATCTCTCTCAGCCTATACTCAATATGGCGGTCAAATTAAGAAGGGCACGCACTGTTGTGGTCTTGTCTTGAGTATTTAACATTGAAGACTCAGCGCTTACTGAAGGATATGCAATAAGGGGGAGGAAACGAGCCGAATTTTCACCTTTTAACTCGTTTGTATCCATTTAGTGCAATTATCATCGACGACTCATCGCTTACTGAAAGATATGCAAGTACAAGGGGGAGGAAACGAGCAGAATTTTGACCTGTTAACTGGTTTGTATCCATTTAGTATCATTAAGGAAATGAACCAAATTGCAACCTTTTGACCCCTAATTCAAGAGTGACTAGCACCTAATTTCTCCTTACAATATCACCCCCTTGGATAATCGTTGTCGTTAACTAGCTGTACTCGGATTACACTTTATAACCTGTTGTGAGAGTGCTTTAATTGCAACGTTCTCTGAGCGATAGCACCTAAGTTCTTGAAAGCTAAAGCTAGGAAACATCGATGTAAATTCTATTTCTTTCAGGCCGTATAGTTCATTTATCATATTTTACGACTT